CTCCCTTCTTTATGGACTTTATGGCAACAAGTGCGACCTTTGAGGTGTTTTCGGGGAATGCAAGCTTGGTGTTTGGCTTGCATGCATGGTTGAGGTATGCAGTAACAAGGTAAAGTGCCAATCCCTTGGTGTGCTCACTGTCACTGTCAGTACGATAGTGATCCTTTATAGCCTTGTCCTGAGCACCAGCAACCTTTTCTGAAGAACCTAGTTTGGTGGCGAATGTGTTGTAAGCAAGTTTTCCCTTTAGAGTAACATAACGCTCTTCATTAATGAAGTCGCCTAGTCCTGGGATCTTTGAAGCCAACATTCCAGAGAGCTGCTTAAGAGCAACAGCATCATCCTTTGATGGAATGATTTCGAGGTACTTTAGTCTTTCAAGGTGTTCATAGGTGGTGTACTCATCATCATCAGACTCTGACTTGGAATCGGCATTAACAGCGCGAGCCAGCTCCTTCTTCTTTTCCTTGTCGATGAGAGTGCTAAAGAACTTGGCAATTATAATTGGGGCAAGTTCGTTTGATTCTCTGCACTGCTTAACGAAAGAAGCGGCCTCCTTAGAGGAAGTGCAAAGGACTTGGTGGTAGGCATCATGAGCATCGGTGCGGCATTTTTCACTACAGTAGACGACTTCGTGACAGTCTTCACATTCAAAGGCATTGGGGTTTACCTTCTTGCTTTCTTGAGATTCCTCAGTTGTTTCAAACTTAGCTTCTGTCTCTCCAGCCTTTTCCTCTCCAGCCTCTTCTGTAACAGTAGTGGTAGCAGCATTGTTGTCCTCTTCAACGGTAGGCTTTTCTTCATCCTTTTCTTCGGTGGTGGTGGTGGCAGCAGCAACATTTTCAGGAGTTTCCTCCTTTTCCTTAACCTCGGTACTCTCTTCAGCAACAGCAGCATCAGCATCGGTAGTAGATTCAGGAATTGAAATAACTTCTGCTTCCTCGCGAGTAGCATCAATGGCAGGTTCAGTGATTGATACATCCTCTGTCTCCTCGCGAACAGCTTCCTCTGTTTCTGGCTTCTCCTCATCAGCTAGAGTGGTTTCCTTTTCTGGAACAGCCTCCTCGGTCTTTGTAGCCTCTTCATCCACACCAATGGCAGCTTCTTCTTTTGAAACTGTCTCCTCAGAATGAGCACCTTCAACATTGTCGGTCTTTTCAATAGGCTTCTGGCAGTGATGGCAGAACTCCTTTGAGGCATCTTCATCTGGAAGCAATGTGGAAACAACGGCATCTTCTTCGTATATAACTTCGCCTTCTTCAATATCTTTGAGTGCGAAAAGACCGCGCTGTGGCAGTAATACATCCTTGGATTCGCTCTTTTCCTTCTTTTCAGTCTTCTTGCTCTTATCTTTAACCTCTATATTCATCTTCTTTGGTGGGAAGTTATCAAAGTAGCGTTCTTGCTTAAACTTGACCTATTTATAAAATCGCATAATTAATATTCCAATTATTTATTTTAAAGTGTGAATATATATATACACACTATTGATGATGTTTTTTGATATACCTCTTCAGCCATCATTGCCATTACCAAGCCAAACAGGGCCTCAGGAACAGTCTTTTGGTAGATCATAATAAGCTCAATGGGATTTGGATAAACCTTAAGGGCTCTGTAGAAGCAGCAGGCGGCTTCACCAAATTGACTTGGACCTATATTGATGGATCATACATAGGGGTTAGATCTTAATACTAAAACAGATAGTAGCATATAGTATTATGCGTGGAAAAGCTATATGTATATATGCGCAGAAAAAGTGACGCCTACCAGAACCAGCCAAGACTTCACCCTGGGCAACTTGGGCCATGAAGAACTTTTCCTTTTCTTCAGGAGAAGCAGGAAGCTTTTCTTTTGAAACTATTTTCACTAATTGGCCGGCGAGCTCCTTGGTAGCCAAATCTGCTCTCTTGGTTTGGGACTCTGCAGCCTTGATAGCCTTGTTTCTGTCACGGCCTACAAAAACAATAGACGTTCCAAAAATAAATAGGTAAGTATGTGCTAATGCTTTTGTGTTTAGGATAGAAGCCTTTCAAAGCAATGAGGATACCTACGAAGCTTTTTGCGGAATTTAGGGTCGTTGCGACGCTTATGATCAAAGTAGATCAAGTAGCCTAACCCGCCGGTCACTAGACCTGCGGCGGTCAACATGGCAATGGTTGAAGTCTTCATGACTCAAATAGTAATAATAAATATTATAGGGAAAAGATGTCTAAGGTGTAAGGGCCACGATAATGAAATGATGACCTTTACAACACTGTTGATCAACCAAAAAGTTTTTCGAGGGGGCCACTGTTTACAGTAATCCATTTTGCGAGTGAGAACACCTGATTCACAGCATGCCTGCTGCATTAGATCAAATCACATGCTAAGATCTCTGGTACAGCAGCAACTCGTATTATTACCAAGGAGCCAAGAAATGTAGTCTAAAACGCTGAGCTTTCTATGTGAATTGTGGCTTCTGGGGATAAGCATAGGAGCAATGCACGCACATACATCAATAAAAGGATATTCAGATGCCTATATTTCCTGGCTGAATGAAAGCGGCTGTGATGTCTACATTGCGCCGATTTGCCAAAGACCATTTGGGCATGCCCAAGCACATGACAACGACACAAGCCTTGAACCATCCAGGACAAGTAAATTTCCTAAAATATGTAGTTAGTTGCCATCCACTCAGAGTTTAATAAGCGCCCAGGAGGACACTTGTTGGAAAGTCCTAATACACACACGGCTATGCAATCAGCATCCTTAAACGCAGCATCGTTTTTACCAGTATGCCCAAAAACTATAATTTGCGGGTTCTATATCGAAAGTACATCAAATAGTGCTCTGATGTCTCCAGCAAATTTAGCCCATGAGCCATACATTATAGGCTGGTATTGGAGAGATTATTCTGGTACACTTTTGGAGGGAACTCTTGTCTAGGAAGATCCTTGTGTGTCTTTGTTGCTATTTTGAGTTCGCCTATACAACAAAACATTCGCCATGCTGGGGCGCTGCACCTTTCTTGAAAGCACACATTGGTGATGAAAATGCATATGTATGTGTGTGTGTGTTTGAATGCAGATAGGCTACCACCACTGCTGCCAATGTTATTGTCCGCTTGATGATGCTTTCTCATGGGTGGGCTCGCTGTTCCTTTGCCTTTCTTTTTCTTTTATTTAGCAACTAAAAGCTGCCAAACTAATGAGCAGCAAAATATTCTTTCCTAGGCCAATTTTAAAAACCTCGGTGCTCTCTATATCTCAGTACAGCACAGCACCTGCGAATATAGACCACAACGATCCCTTTGGCCTAAGTGAAAAACTCCTTGGTATAAAAATGTCTATCGAAAAGGACGAAAAGCTAGAAAAAGATAAGGACTTGAAAGCTGGTGATGTTCAAGATGAACACGAAGTAGACACGGATGACTCTGAGGATGATATTGATGAACCCACGGCCTTCAACACTGTCTATAACCTGCTTAATGAGTTAATAGATATCAACTCTCACAACCGTCGTAAGGCTGAAAGTCTGGCAACAATGTTTGGACAGCTTCATGAATCCCTCTCTAAACAACAGCAACAGAAACAACAAGAGAACATTTCTCCCAGCTCGCTTCCACAACACAAAAGTCCAAAATCCGCTGAATCTATTGGAAGGAATAGCACAGATGGCATTGATAGCAAGGATATTGCGCTAGTGGATGATAGAGGGACAGCAGACTCATTACACTCACCCACCCCATTGATGACACCAACACCGAGCCAGGCTCCAGAGGAGGAGGTCCGTACCCCGACAAACAAAACACCCAAAGAACCAAACGAAGAGGAACAGTCGTCTACACCTCTCCCAATGTCTCTATATTCCACTCTGTCGCCCATAAATAATTCCACTACAGACGGAAGTACTTCCAAGCCATTAGGTGACGATAACGGAACACCACAGCCAAGGCCGCCACCAGCACTATCGTATGACGCCAATCGGATATCCACTCCGCAACCACGCACGCCATCAATTTCCACAGCCTCCGGAACCCTAATGTCCGAGGGAACTCAGACTGAAATGGGTGGAAAGGAGAGCTACCCATACCGGCTTAGGCTAAGATCTGGCTCGCCAACTCCAACAATGACCAACCAGAGCAATTCGGCCTCAAATACGCCAGAACTCCAAGAAGAGCTAGAGGTTATCAAGAAAGAAAATCGACAGCTCCGTGATGATTTATCACGACTACTTGATGCACACAAGGAACAGCAAGCAACCGTACAATCGTACGAAGCTATACTTTCCAAAGCCCTGCAAGCCTTAAGATCCAACAATCCAGATATAAACAAAAACAATGTTTATGATGAAACACAGAGTAGTAGTAGTAGTAGTTATATCAATAACAGTCTCGCCGCCGCCACCGCTCTTTCCAAAAAAGAAGAAGCAGCAGCAACAGCAGACTATCTACAAAATGAAAACAAAAGACTAAAAGATGAACTTGCAAATGCCGCTAGTACAATAAGATGCAGCATCAATAATCAACAGACATCTACTACTGTTAGGAGTTCTAGCAGTGGTGGTAGTAGTGGTAGTAGCCATTAATTGTGTATAAATATTTGCCATTTTAAAAATATTTCCTCATCATCATCATCATCACTATTATCTTTGTCAGTTCTTGCTCTCTCTCTTTTGAATCCTATAAGCTTAATATTATGGTTCACACAGATATTCCACCTTTCATTTCTTTAGCACGCTGTATCTTGGAATATGTGTCTCCAAGCTACTTGTAGTTTATCTATATTATATTTAATAATAAGTTTCAATGCACCATGATAAAATGGGAATCGAAAACACAATAACGTAAGAACACAATCGAATTTTAGGACAATATGTTTATTGTTATACTGATAATTCAGTAGGTAGAAATCTTGAAACAAATAAAAAGTTAAAAAGGATCTGTATGTAATGAAGCTATGTGAGTTTTTTTGGAATATTTTATAAATATATAAGAATTTATTTCTCTGCGCGTAACCCAAGCCCGTTTGGCCAAGTGGTAAGGCGTCGCACTCGTAATGCGAAGATCCACGGTTCGATCCCGTGAACGGGCAAAGAATGATCTATTTTATTGTTTCTCTTCTGAAGGCACACATTGGTTTTTTGCTACTCATCGCTAAACTTTTATAATTTTTGCAGCTAATTTCTTTATTTTGAAATTATAGGGCAATGGTTTTATTTATTTATGTGTGTTCCACTCAAAATAGTGGATATGTAGTATAAAAAGTATTAAAAGAAAAATATATATATATTTACACAGTCATGGTGATCTGTCAATACAAAAAAATTTAACAAGAAAGTTGTGGTATAGTAGAAGTAGAAAGTAAGAGGAGAGAAGGTAGTGGAGAACAGAATTATATATGTATATAGTAGTATAGCGTAAATAGACCATGTATATATATCATATAATATAGATGTGTTGTGGTGGACATTCATTTCGGCACATATCTGGGAATTTAATTACAAAGTGGGTTGATGTTTGGGTTCTAAAACTCCAACAATTTTTCAGCATCATTGCACATTGATGTGAACATTTTTCAATTTTGATATTTTAGTGTGTTACAGTATCGTTGCTGATTGCTTGCCAGAGACAAAGTAATTATAAACCCTGAACGTTGCTTGGTGAACTGAACAATAATGGCTGTCGTGGATCATTGGCACCCTCGTGCACTTTGTCTACGCCATTTTTGTTGCTGCTGATTACACTTGAAGACGCATGCAAGAGATGGGATACGGGAGGAAGGTTAGGGCTGGAAACAACATCCAAAGGCCGTTTCATGCCCCGAGTATTACTATAAGTATATTGGTTATGGTGATCGCACATGTACCGTGGTATGAGCTCGGCTCTTGGTGATGCATCAGCTGAAAGGGCTGAGACTGTGCTCTTCGAATTGCGCTTGGTTCCAGCCCTACTTATATTCGAAAAGGTATCGATCTGAAGATTATCATACCTATCACTATAGTCGGCACCAGCACTGAAATCCTCACTAGTTGGTGTTGTGGAGAATCTACTGCGGCCAAGGTCGATTGTGGCAGTTCTTTGCTTTGATGGCATTATAATGGGAGGAGTTAGAGGAGCGCCAATGCCCTGAGCTGAGGCAAGAATTCCAAGTTCAAACTTTTCGACCTGTATGACTTTGTACAGTCTGTCGTATGTTTGCGGGTTGCCAAGCTGGGCGCCAAAACCGCCACCCCAGTAGGATCTAGTCTTTAACAAGGCATAGCTTCCATCTTCTCGCCTGATATGTAAAGGCTCGCGAATTTCCCTTGAGCCAGCACATGGAGCCAGCAGGACATTCAGGGATACGGAATTGAATTCGTTTATGTCAAGTGACGATGGCGGGTCGATATTTGGGACATGGGTAGGGCGCTGGTAGATACTGTTGTTATTGCTGTTGATGATGCTAAGCGAGGCAGAGAGCGTGTTTGCGATCGACAAAAACTTGTCGCTGTCGGCATCGTGAAGAATGGAAAGCATTGAGCGGTTGATCAGCTGTAGGGATGTGTATCCCAAGAGACCTGATGACGAATCATCAACTCTTAGGCACATGTGGTTTGGGGTCAGGAACAAGTAGGATATACGAGAGTCGGATGAAGGGTTAGTGGTGGTGGTGGTGGTAGTAGAAGCAGAGCTGGCAAAGCTAGGCATTGGCTGGGTGCTCGGCTGATAGAGCGGCGTTACGGCTGTGTGAGGAAGTGTAGTAGATAAAGGGAGTGAGCGTCTGGATGCGGTTGGTGGTATTGGCGAAGGCGGGCTAATAGAAGCGTGATGAGGTGGAGCAGTATTGGGCACCATACTGCGACTGAGAGTGTAGTTAGGAAGTGCATTATAGGCATTATCCATTTCTTTACTGCAAATCGAAGTTAGTGGTGGTGGGCAACTGTTCATTGACTGGTGTGGGGCCTGTCGCGTTCGCTCAGATGCAGGGTCGAGCATTGCTTTTGTTGACATTTCAGGAGCCACGGAAGGAGGATTCGCTATAAAAGGGACCATAGTAACCAAAGTTGATGGATCTGCTACTGCTTGATTCAGGAATAGATTAATGGGTAGTGCAATTTCAGAGGCAGAAATGGCTGGCTTACCAAAAGAAGTAATGGTCGATTTTGAGCCTTTGCGTAGATCTGCCGTTGAGGCAATTGTTGATCCCTTTGGTGCAGGAGTTACCGAAACCTTTGTCGATGATGTGGTTGAGGGGGTTGAGAGCGAGAACTGGAACATACGGTTCTCCATCATAGCCTTGACAGGACTTTGGTCCTGATCGACTTGCTTGTCCCTAAGCTTAGGACGACCACGCTTCTTGTGCTGGACATCGTGGCAGGTGTCCTGCTTTCCAATAGAGATGCAGCGATTGCAAGGCCTAGAAACTGCAACATATCAGAAGAAATGCCTCAGTTAATGGGACTCATAGGTACATGGACGCACTGAGGCTCAGCTGACCATGATTTGCTGGGACAATTGAAGCAATGTGTGGTTGAGAAACTTACTATCGCAAGCCAAGTGGGCCTTTTTGCAGTTGGTGCATGCGCTAGGAACGTGTGATTTTATCTGACGGGTGGATGCGCCACTCTGGGACTTGCTATTAACAGAGAAACAAAATAAAGCGGGTTTAGTCAATGCCAAAGCGGCCAGGACGTTCAGGCTGGGCGAGAGGGACCCCATGTAGTATTACACAGTGGCACATGGTGGCGGGTTGTGCCATCAAACCACAAAGGCTTGCCAATGGTCTAGGAATATCATTAAGACGACATGAATGCGCATGCGGACTTACCCCTTGAGATTGGAGCCAGAGCCATTTGTCTTGATGGAAGATGTCTTTGGGCGTTTGGCTGGAGCAGGGGCCGTCGTTGCTGGTGCTGGTCTGGCGGCCGTCTTGGCATCCGAGGGTGCTGGAGTCATTGAAGCAAATTATATAGCCAGAAGTAGAATGCAATGTAATGAATTAAAAATAAGCCAGAATCAAAAACGAGCCAGAGTGGAGGCAGGCAAGTCCTTTTATAAAAGTGGTTAGACGCACATCAGGCATAACGAAAACGCCATTTGTTTTCCTATTAAAACAGTATTTTTGGGTGGAGTGCACACACTAGAAAAATAGTAGAGAAACTCTGGTAGTAACACGAGAGCACAAATGCATGGGGTCTGCCCTGATCGTGATTGTCCCAACCTATCATCAATAACACATAAAGTGGGAGGGAACCAGAACCTCCCCTCTCCAACAAACTGCGCGCAGGCACCTTTCGATAAGCAAGGCATCCAAGTGTGTGTATGTGCGCCACCCATTGGCGGGTAGCGTGCCGTTCGCAAAACACATAAGCTCGCATAGGCAGCCCATGTAAAGAACCGAGGCCCTGCGGACAATTAAGCTATGTGGGCACTAGCTATGCTGGCGAGCCAAATGCATCGGTGTTGCGTGCTAGTTTACGCCATTTTGACTGCAGCCCCACCTAAACCTTTTTGGCAAACTCCGATTGGAGGTGATCCATTTGTTCGGAAAATTAGTCAATGGGCTCACACCTATTGCACCAGGCCAGACCTTTGCTTGCCAGCAGAAACGGCTGCTTCTCTTCTTGGCTAGTGCATTGTAGAGAGGGGAGCCCAGCGTTACTCAGAGTCTGGATTCTGTGGTGCTAACTATGTTGCTGCTGCTGCAATTCAAGCATCTTAATAACAACACCGATATTATCGGTCCCCAGCATCTCGCATTCAGACACGTTGGTTATGGAGTTTTATGTGTCATGGAAAATTTCCGCTGAAGTTACCCGACGGGTACCATAAACGAGGCCCAAAAATAGGGTGTGGTAACGCATCCTTTACAGGCTGTCATATCCACATGTCTGTGCAAGCTGTGAGCACAGGGGCTTCCTGCTCTCTGCACACATCTAACATCTGCTTTCACTGAGCCCAAAGTTCGATAGCGATTTTTTTAGAGAACCCGCCCAATTACCAAAATGTATCCGGGGAATTCTGGATGTTCTTGGGCAGCCCTCATCGTCGTTTATACTGCTTCTGCTAAGGCCCATTACGGGAAGCATGGCTGACCGAGGTCTCTTCATAATCGTCAGCTTATGGAAGCAGTGGTTCGCAATACCACACGGCCCGGCGGGTCCTGCATGCTCCCTTCGGCCAAACCGGCTCTGGTAACCGAAGGATACCAGTGGCTGGAAAAGCAGAGACATTGGGATCTTTGCAAAACAAGCGGTATGCAGCGACTGAAAGGGTTACTCTGTGGGCAAATGCCTGTGGACCAGCTCTAAACACATCCAGTCTAGTTCCGAAAAAACCCGCACCCTGATAAAAGATTCCCTCTTCGTATTTTTGGCGTGAGATAACTTTTCGGAAGAATATCCCAAAATAGGGCCTATACAAGCATTTTGCACCCATGATAACAGAGATTAGAAAGCCTTTTTTGACTATGAAGCGTACACATACTGATTGTACCAGACCTTGCACAAATATGGCAGCGCTATACTCATAGATGCAGCCTCAATTTTCTCCAACTTTCGATTCAATACAGAAAACCACTCTTGGCACATTTTCGTTCGCCATATCTCACTTTGAAAAATTTCCGCACCCTTGATATTGCACTCTTACTAATTCTCCGGTCCTTGAGCTTCTATTCACTGATTTTTCTGTTCCAATACGCGTATCCGCCTCTACCACATTTGCTGTTCTTGCCTTTACTCATACGGTTCCCCCCATACTAATCACCAAACCATCCCAAAATTTCCCAATACCACCGCTGTTGGGACTGGGCGACACAAGAACACCCCCCTACACTTGTGTTTTAGTACTGGTATTGCCTAAAAACAACGGAGATATACGGGTCAACAGCATAGATTTTGCTATAAATCTCTGCTGAGCTTAGTTGCAAATGTTGATTATCTATCGTCGCCACTTTTTACACAATTTACAAAATTCGCCATGTGTTGAACAAAAGTATGTAGGCCACAATGGAAATTTGTCATAGTCTATTAGATGGATGTGGCGATCTCCATTATTAGAAAGACATAAATACACAATGCTCACACTACCACCAGCACAATTTTTGCTCAGCCC